TTTGGACCAGAGTCTCTGGGAAAAAAAAACAAGTTGATTGGTCAGCCACTTAATTTGGATGAGATTAAATTGATCCCAGATAATAATAAGGACCTGTCATTTAAATCCCATACCAAAGAGGTTTCCAGAATTTACCTCTTTCATCACAATATTACAAAAAAACAAAAACAGAAATGTCTTGTCCAGGAGTGATTCTGAGAAATTAGTCAATGCATTTGTTACTTCAAGTCTATTCTAATCCTTTACTATCATGAAATCTGCAAGCTTTCTGATGATCCAAAATGCTGCATGAAAAAGATTGATAATTGCCTATATTAGCTTCTCTTCGTTGGCTTTCTGTTAGATCAAGAATAGAAATCCTATTTCTCACATATAAAGCCTTAAATGGAGAATCTTCATGTTATATCACTGCAGCAGGATCTAATCAATCCTTACTTCCCTAATTAGAGCACTTTAGGGCTGAAACAATTTATCTGATTAATTGTGGTTAGTCGATTATTGAAATAATCGTCAACTAATTTATTGATCGATTAAATGTTAACTGGAGTATAGAGACTAAAACATGCCTTTAGCTGACAGAGCAACCCACCTTTAGCAGCTATTATACCAACATTGTAAACATTTTGCATTTAAGATGAAATATATATATATATATATATATTTTCACCTTTCAATAAGCTCTATCCAGAACTCCTTAAATGGAAAAGTATTATAAGTTTCAACTGGTTTAGTTTTCTAAAAATTCTTCTTTTTAGAACCTTTTGCCATTTCAATATTATTTGAAAAAATGATTGACAGATCAATGAATTTGTAACGTAATCATTGTTTGCCCCCCTGGAGCACTTAACTCTCAATCTGTAGGTTTACTTGGTGTTCCTTGACATTCTAAATGGGAATAAAGCTGATCCAAATTGTACAGCCTGAGACCTGATCAAAATTACAAAAAAAATATATATTTCTACAATCCTAGCTTCTCTTTATTTGCTTGCTGTTAAATCTAGAATATAATTTAAACTCCTCATTCTTACATATAAAGCCTTAAATGACCAAGCTCCATCTTATATCAGAGATCTGCTGTATTTATGTTCCTAACAGAGTTTTCAATCTGAAGGTTTACTAGTGGTTCCTAGAATTTCTAAAATTAGAATGGGAGGTGGATCTTTAAGTTATCAGGCTCCTCTCCTGTGGAACCAACTATCAGTTTGTAGTTCGCTTATAGTTAGAGTGGCTCGGGTTATCCAGTGCTCAATAGTTATGCTGCTATAGGCGTAGATTGCTGGAGGACATAGGAACCCATTTTCATCATTCCACCTTATTCTATCTTTATTGTCCCATCCTGCAGAATGTGTCAGTTCTCTAATGTTATGCCCTCTGTGCTTTTTCTCATCATTGTAGCTTCATCTGTTCTGTTTGGCTGTGACACCATCCTGGAGAAAAATATCAGCTGGGCCCCTGCCATAAATGCCTTTGTTTATAGATGTTGGAGCGTAGCCTGTTTTTCAGTGTATTCCTGGTTCTCTGACTGTGACTAACTGTATGTGTTTCCTTCCATCCTCTGACATGGGAGCTGGCTCAGAGCTCATCTGCCTGGATGCGTGTTTCCTGGAGGGGGCCGCCTGTGGAGCTGATTGACAGTTGCCTTTTGTATCTCTGCTTCTGTCTCCTTGAACCCCTGGCTGCCACTGCAAAAGGCCACACACACTGAGCCTGATTCTTCTGGAGGTTTCTTCCTGTTCTTCCTCTCCACTATCGCTACAAGCATTCTTAGTGTGAGGGATTGCTTTTGAGTCAATGAGGCGATGTAATCAGCTGGTTTTCCTTAGATAGAAAACTTTGAACAAGTCTGACTGTAGGATCTGCTTGAATTGTCTCTGTAAAGTGCCTTAAGATGACATGTTTTCTGAATTGGCACTATATAAATAAACTGAATTGAATTAAATACTGGCTAAATTGTGCAAATGTGTTTTTATGATTCTATGTTTCAGTTTTTCAAGATGAAATAGCCAGTTGCAGAATTTATACCTTCATCAAAACCCAGTCCATGTGATTGGCAGTTATAGGTATCGGCTGTGATCAGCCCTCACAGTGATTTGTTTCGGGATCTGCAGCAAAAATCTTGAGCCGATGATCCCTAATCAAGAGTCCATTGTAGGATTATTACATGAGTCAGAACTCAAAAAGTTTGTTAAACTCTAGTATAGAGCATTGGGTAGCACAAGGTTGCCCCTCCCCTGGCTTTTGCTACACACTGCCAGTAAGCTGTCTACATTAAGGTTGCTACACTGTTGTGACTAAGACAAGATACTTTTTTTGGAGTTTTTGCAGCACTAATGGCTCAATTTTTTGACAGACATGTAAAGGAAAGGACCACCAGCCAGATTCGAACCCAGGTCACCCGCTTAGAGGACGAGGGCCTCCGTACGTGGGTCGTGTGCGCCAACCACTGTTCCACCTGCACGCCCAGACAAGATAAATTTGATATTTGAAAATAATTTTCATTTCGGTCATAAAGCCGATGTCAAGTTGACCCAAACAGATAGCCTAACTAATAGACCAGCTAACATCAGCTTGTTTGCCTAGCAAGCAGAAAAGCATAAAGTTAAAATATGCTGTGCAATAATCAATAACCAACATTAAATGTATCAAGTAATTTTATATATTCTTTTTTATTTTTTATCAGTATTAAACTGATTATTAAACATATATTTCTTATTGAGTATTGTAAATATTTTTATATTATTTTAGTGGAAGTATGAATAATAAAAGTATTTAGATCCTATAGTACGTTCTGTTTAAATTCTTATAGGATTATTTAAAAATCAACAAGCATTATCTATGATTCTATTTTCAAAAACTTTAAAGTTATTGTCTTTAATATAAATTGGAGTCTGATGAACCCTGAACCCAGTTTTCTCCCTGTTTTTGTTACTTATAACAATTTCAGCAGATTTAACTTTTTTAAACCACTTGTGGTGCAGATGATTGCTTGTTTTGAACTGTAATAAATTCTTCTGATAACTGTTAAATAAGATAGAATTGTCCTGTACACTCCTGGTTAACACAGGGAACTGAACAGGATTGCTGTTATCATTCCTGAAGCCCAGTGCCATTACATTTATAGATTTTTCCCTTTGATGGGATAATTTGGTCTTTATATCTCTCACAAATGAAGTGATCCTTAGCGCTTCTCGCACAGCTCAGTGTGCAGGTCCCCATTTTCAAATACAGCTAATTGCATTCGAAAAGAATCAATGATACTTTGGCGGTGACAATATCACTCTTTTAATGTCACTTAATTTCCTGGGTGAAATAATTACATCAATAGCCTGGAACCCATTTCTATCTTTCAGCATGAATTAATCTATTACGGGCAATAATTACACATTTGTAATGGATAGGTTTTTGCATTGAGAGGGAAAATGCAGACAGACCTCCATTGTGTGCCTGCATGTTGGCACTGTCCTGACTATCATTCAATCCGTTTATGAATTACACTGAACCAGAGAGAGAAAATAAATAGAAAATAATAAAATAAAGGCATCTCCTATGCAGCTCCAAGGATGCTTTCTTGTGCGATAGCCCTCCCTCTAGTGGAGATGAAGGAGCTGTTTTATACAGTGTGATTTACAGCTGAGAGACTCAGTCAAAGCTGAGAAATGAGGACAAAGGAGAAATGCTTAATTAACCTGAAATCTCCTTTTTAATCACAATTATTGCATGTAGGAGTCTACAGAGGATGGTCAGTGTATTTGAAAAGCAGTTATCTACCATATCATTGCACAAAGGACAAAAGCCATCAGCAACTCACATTTCACTTTTAAAACATGGGACTATGCAGTAATGCATCTCTAGAATCATCTTATTCCCTCAAATTTCAACAAAAATGTTAAATAGCTGGATGTGTAAAGATCTGCTATAAAAGGGTACTGTACAAAAAGTCAGAAAGCTTTAAATGTAAATATAAAAGACTAAGGAAAACTAGAGTTATACACAGTGCTGTTTGTGCAGCTAATTTATTGCATAGGGAAGTCAGTTATGCCTTAAAAATGTTGCTCAATACACGTCTAATATTGAAGCAAATAATTTTTCAAGAAGTTTATTTTCATTACTCAGTTTGTATATGATTTTATTAGGTTAAAACCACTGATATTAGGTTAGAAACAATGATATTAGGTTATAAAACCAGTGATATTAGGTTAAAAACACTGACATTAGGTCAAAAACCACTGATATTAGGTTAAAACCACTGATATTGTTGTATTTTCCTGCCTTTTGATTCTGATTAGGAGTGATTTTTATTTATTTTTTATTTTATTTTATAGTTGATGATTACAATACTGTCAGCAGTCTGTCAATATTGAGGTTCTTGCTTAAATGTACCATATCCAAAATAAATAAATGAATAATGTCTTTGATTCACTTTTATATGTGTAGACTTAACTAGATGTTAGTTTTTTTCTCTTTTTGCAATTTCATAAAGCAGATTTGTTTTTGACACAGACATGCAACCAGTCCCACCGTACATATGGTTTGCCTATACCAGAAAGACAACACAAAAAAGAATATATTTTTTTCTTTGTTTGACAAGGATACTAAAAATCTGTTTCTGCTATAGTAATTTATTTAAGATATTTTAGAAAAATACAAATTAAAAATTTATTGAAAAAAGAAACCAGGCTCTTTTATTAAGCTGAATAAACATTTGCAAAACCTAAACATGAAAGCAGGTTTACATAATCTGTGAAAGGTCTGTCACTTGATACAATAGGCTAACTGTGATCTCTGCTGCACAGACGCGACGCTGCAATTGCTCTCTTATTTATTCATCAACAGTGGAAACTGACCGACTACCTGCCTGCTGCAGTGATCTGTCCGCTCTCACCTCCCTTTTTCTCAGGTGAAAACCCACACACCACACAACACTACACACTGGGAGAGGTGGGGGTAAAAAAAGGGGCAAAACTAAGTAAATTCCAGTGGAGCTGCTGCATATAAACAGAGACGATGCAAGTAGACGTTGCAGGTGGAAAATATATTTTAATTCTTAAATGAATAATCAAGGAGATGATTACATCTGCAAATTTTTCTGATCTTGAACTATATTTGACCCGAGCTCCGCTGGTTAGGAGGTGTTTGGTTCAGCTACAGGGTGCTCACCGGAGGAGGAGTTGACGGTGCGTCTGCGGTGCGCGGCGGATAAACGGTGCGCTCAGACGCACAGACGGAGCCAAACCAACAGCAACACCTGGAGACTCAACTTCCACCACGCGCAGGTTGTGTCCACAGTAGCAGCGGCGGGGATGGGACATGACTTGTCCGAGTAAGGTATACATTCATTAATGTCAGGATTAAGCCCATTTGTGTTCTTTTTTATGTTTTTTATTTAGGATGTTTAGATCTAATTGAGATATTATATATTTTCACAACACCTTTTCTCTGGGAATAGTAATGGACTTTCTGTTATGTGTGAAACTTTTTTTTAGTATTCAGCAAAAGCTTAAGTATCTTGTTTAGGTATAGTTTACCATATTAGGTTTAGAGCTATTTGATTAAAGAGGAATAATTTTGTAAAATGGGATAAAAATTTTCCTCATTATTGTAAGGCCTTAAAATTACCAGCTTTCTATAAGTTTCTTTTAAATAAGTCTTCGACACAATCTGTCTAACTAAAACTTTACAAGAACAGATAAAACTGATTTTTTATTGGACATAAAGAACCTGCGTAGAGATTCCTTATCTAAACTTCACATCTATTCCTGTTACTCTGTCATCTTTATTCAATGTAACTTTTCTTGCTCATTGGCTAAATTTCTCACCAATATACTTGATAACTTACTCTAATGCTTATCCCTGCTTTCGGTTAATTTGAGTTTTTTTCTTTTTCTTTGGATTTTAAGGCAAACAAACAGAGCCGGCCCTATGTGGTATGAGGCCCCAAGCAGAAATCAGTTTGGTGGCCACCTCTAGTCAGGTGTTTTTTTTCCCATGACAGCAACCCTGCGCTAGTTTTATTTTAATAACCCATACTTGATCTTCATGTAAAACAAACAAAAAAATAAAATAAAATAAAAAAACAGTTTTCAAAAATTATTTTTGAAACTTCTGCTTGAAACTTTTGAGACTTCAGCTGATTTGGGACACAATCAGCTTGCATTAGCAAGAAATTATAGCTATGTTAGCATAACTTTCAAAGGATGATTTGTTTACTTAGATTTGCACAACTGCTGCATTGAATTTCTCTTGAATTTCTTCTTTCCTATATCTGGTGCTGGTCCCACATAAAAGCAAACACACAAACAAAATAAAGGAACTTCTGCAGATGCATCGAGGGATTCAGGACCAACAAAGTAATAGAAGAAGAATATATTCATTATTAAAAGCGTTAAAAGCTGCAACCTAAAAAAAATACAGTCATTTATGATTCAATTTTTGTCTAATGTCACAACTTCAGGTGTGTGCCATCTTTAGAGCCATTCTTTATTTGTGTTGTAAAATCAAAGTGATTCAACTAAATAAATAAATGTGGGAAGCAACAAGCCGCAGCAGGGAACTAATAGCTCACAACGCATTAAAGAAAAAACAGTCTGTTACCTTGCAACAGGGTATTTGTTAGAAACAAACTGTCTAAAATACTTGTGTCCAAACATAGTTCTGCTTTACAAGTGTTGCAGTTTGTGCTTTTTTGTTAGTTCTGGATTTTAAAGTAATTTTTAAACAGTTAATCCAAACGTGTTTATTTTTCTTTACTTCTGAAACACTCTGTAATCTGAAAATGTGATTTACTGAATATAAATAAGAATATGATTTGCCTTAATTTAGTTGCAAAAAAGAGAGCAGCTGCTGCATGATCTGTGTCAGCGTGGAGGCTCTGCTACTGCACATTAGTAGGCCTGTGATGATCAATAGGGACTGCGTGATGTTTTTGCATCGATTAGAGAAACGTGAGCCGATGAATGGAACTGGATTCCTCTCCAGGGGGTTTATTCTTTTCCTGTTCAGCAGTAGCAGAGCGATGCTACGCACTTTTTCTTTTGTTGTCCTTTTTATGCATGAATCTTCTGGTAGAGAGCGGCTCTTTCATGCTCTCTTGTACCTTTTACGGAGAGGCCGGGCAGCAACTTCAGGGCACCTCGTGAGTTTCTGAGAAGAGGACAGACTGCTGTTTTCCTTTGACTGGACTCAGCCGAGTGTCAGGATGCCATGGTAAGCTCTGTTCCTATAATGTGGGGATACAGTAACATGGAGACCCTTGCTGACTGTGAAATGCTATCTGCATTCTCTGCATTCTTACTGAGCTTGATCAACACTGAAACACAGGCGTTGCTAAAGCTGGGGTTAGAGCAGACAGAGCCAGATTTTCCGCTCCTTTGGAGGCCGATCAGACTTCCAAGAGTATGACTTATGGCCTGAGATAATCTCTCACAGGTGGGGAAGGCTTTACAATGGCCCCCTCTCATGCAACACCCAAAATCACAGCTAATCGAAAGAGTTCAGTAAAACCTTTACAGGGCTTTGTGCTTCGGGTAAAAACCCTGAACGTCTCATCTGAGCTTTTATTCATGAGGTCAGGCTTGATTTTATTTAAAGATATGCATTTGGCTAGAAACTGGAAATGATTTATCTTGGTCAGCTCTGATCAGCAGGTCAGATACTAAAACTAAGATATATTTTCCTCCCTTTTATTTATAAAAAGCATAAAGCAAGAAACTGCCATCTTTTTTTTTGTCCATAAACCAACAACAAGCACTCTGGTGTGATTTGTCTAAGTAATGTTAATATCAGTCAAAAGGAAATAGAAAAATGCTTTGATGAATAAATTGTGATATACCTCCTATCACTTTGAACTCTAAGATCTTTCTTTCATATTTCTGACTTAAATCTTTAAATATGCAGCATGAGTTTCAAGGTCCCTTCTTTAAAAATAACTGGTTTCATGATTTAATCTTATCTAGATTAATTCTACTATGAGTTATCATTTGGCCTTTTCTAGTCTTTAATGTGTACCCCTTATTATTTTACCTCAAGGCATAAAAAAAAGAATGCATTTTCGCGATTTATCAGATTGGTACAAAGACTTAGTCTGACTCAGCAGGTCAGTCTTGAAATATTGGTATCGGCTAGAAAAAGCCTGATCAGTGCATTTGTACAATTTTGTAGATAAGAATATTTTCATATTTAGAGGTAAAACTGATATTATGACTTAAATTTTGGTCTGGAATATTTGGTGTTTTGCAAATATAAAATGTAATCCCTACTAGGAATATTTCTTTTTTATTTTTCTCCTAATTATTCTTTTACTCAATTAGTAATTACTCAATTTTTTCAAATGCTTTGAAATGTGATCTTTAGGCATTTTGTTAACTGTCATAAAGTTTTATCAAATTTTCTCTGTTTATATTCTCAGAGAGAGAGTGAAACTCAATCCATTTAAGTCTGAATCAGAACCAGTTATCTAAATCTGACTTTATTCTAGAAATCTTAGTAAAACTGCAACTATCAGTTATTTCCTTTTAAAGCATTTCCGTGCCATAATCTCCTGTAATCAGTAACATCTTAAAATACATGAATGCATACAAAAAATAATTTATATGAAACCTGAATTTCCCCTTTTTTTAATTTTATTTGTAGTTGTTGCATATGTTTGATTTAGTGTACAGCTTTTATTTAAGAGATTTGAAACTGAGCTTTTTTTTGGTTGCATGCAGGTCCATGTGATTCAGTGTTGTGTCTACATGCATGTGAGCGCTGTTGTTGTATGAGTGAGCCAGGGCGCATTCGGATCCCTCCTCCCCGGAGCTCCGGCCCCTCTGTCGCTTTAAGTCCTGCCCCTTGGAGCCAGCCAACAGCAGCTGTTCCATATTCATCAAGCCCTTGAGTCTTAAAGAGCCCTATCCCGAGCATGGAAAGAGTCATTCCTCTCGCTCGCACTCTCATGCTCTCTCCATCTTAGCGCTCATCCCGCTGCTGCCTGCGCGCCTCCGTCTCTCACCTCCCCTTTTTACCTCTCTGTCTATCTGTCCCTCCTCCTCACCCCCTCCTTTCAACCGCTCCCTCTCTTTCTTTCTCACTCTAAAATTCTCTTATATACACTCAGACACACACTCCTTCTCTCTCTTCCTCACTTAAACACACACTCCACACATCCTCATGCGCACGCACTCCTGGTTCATCAGAGCCCGGCATACCTGTGCAGGCTGTTTGGGGGCAGCGTGGTGCTGGAGGGGCTTTTTGCGGTTGTCTCTGAGGGTGCTGTGCAATCATTTGGGGGAAGAAGCGGGTCTCAGTTGTTTTCTCTTTCCTCTTCCTCTCATTCCTGGAATGCTAAAACTGGACTGATGGACATTTCCGAACTTTGTCTTCCAGACCCTCTCAGCTATCATAACCAGTAGGTGCAACCTGCTTCTTTTTTTCCACCTTTCACTTTTTCCCAGCTCTTGAATTTAACTTTATTTACTTTTCCTCATATGTTTTACTTTATTTCATGCCTTTTTCTATTATTTTCACATTTCTTTAAGCTCAAAACTGTACATTTTCTTTTTTAAATTCCCATGCATTCTTTTGCATCATTTCACTTTTCTGAATGTGCACTTTTCTTCTGTCCTAAGGGATTTTAACTCAGATTAGACTGACAGCAGCTAAGCAGGTACAGGTGTCTGAAACATATTGTAAGCATGTGACTTGGTATTTATATGCCCCATTCGGAGCGTGTCTGATTGATTCAGCTTGTGCCACTGAATCATGCGGGACCCTTGTCCAGTTGGGTTAAAAGCCTGTTTGCTGATGGCTTTGTTGCCCAAACCAGGGTCACTCTGGCAGGATGAAAGAGAAATTGTAAGGAGATGAGATTAATGTGAATGCATGTAATTGGAAAGGATAAACTACATGGTTAAATGTATTTTTACAACTTTGAAGAGATAATTTGACGGACTAAGTAACCTCTGAGAACCAGGTCTGTCATGCAGGCGAGCTGCCATCCTGCTGCTGTTGGGACACTCTGGTTCTCCGTCCTCATCAGTTCATCTGTGACTTATATTTTAAACTAAATACATTTTGTTTATTTACTATTTTTTAAAGATAGATGACAAATTTATTCATCAAAGTTAGACCTCATTCAGGTGAATGCACTTTTTAAAAATTAATTTAGGGGTTTGGCATTTCTCTGGAATCAAAGTGTTTTAATTTTCTTCTATGTGTAAAAAGGGCTTTTTTCATAAATATTCATTTATAAGGTTTATTTTAACAAATATCTAATAAAAAAAATCTATGTTTGTAGGACTTATGCAAAACATTTTTATGTGTTTAGAAGAATTTTCACTGTCTCAGAATTCACCAAATTCATCATATGTATATTCATTGTTTATCATCTAAATATAAATCTCATATCATAAGTTTAATTGCTTTTCACTTTCTTATATTTAGTTGCTATTTTTTTATTTAAATATAATGAATATTAATTTTAAGCTATATTTTCAAGCTTGATTTCATTCAGATGATTATAAATAATTTTAACACCAAGTGCACTTTACATCTAATATTGCATAAGGATGAGTAAAGTAAGGCAGTAAAACTTTCATTTTTGCAGTTAACAGTTACAGAAAGCCATTATTAAATTCATAACAAAAATATTGTTTCATGTGCATATTTTTTCTTTTAGATAAATAACATATTACAAGACTTTTTTGGGTTTGTGGTTTCTTGTTTTTATTGTAAAACAATATAAATGTACTTTTAGTTTATAAAATAAGCTTTTAATAAGGGGAATTGATAAAAATAAATTATGCACAAAGGAAATTGTTATTTTATTATTCCTTGAACATAAGAAAAGTTTTTTTTTTTCAATTGAACATGCAAATATTATACTTAGAATATTTACAATAATAGTTTGATATTCTAAAGCCACTCTCCGTTTGAAGCCAATTAGACATATTGTTCACATCAGTTTAGGAGAAAAGACACTTTCCTTTTCGTGTGGAATTTATTACCACTGACCTGACTTGTCCACTGTTGCAGACTTGATCTGATGAAACCCTTTCCACCCTGGACATTAATTTTTTTCCTACTGTGTCCTATTTGCTGTCGTTTTCGGACTCTCGCTGGATGTAGAAGTGATGCTTGTTATAAGCGATCTCTGCTGAATGTTTTTTTGCACCATGCAGCTTGTAGAGCGCTGTGCTGGAATCTATAAAATACCTTAGATAACCTTGAGGATGTCGCCAATTTCTGGGCATTAGACTGAAGTAAAGTTTTTAACAAACTGATATTAACAGTAAAACACCTTTAAACAAGCTTCTGTTGAATTTTCAGATAAAACAAGCTATACAAATAATTCAATTAAATTCCCACTGTAATATCAGATTCTTTTTGTGCTGATGTTTCTGTTAATTTGAAGGTAATTTCGCTTCATTTCTTTAAGTATACAACAGTATTATAACACTTTGTGCAAAAGTCCGTCATGGCTACAGCAGTGAATAATTCAAATGTTGCTCCTCTAAAAAAAGATTTAAACAGCAGGAATTGGGTTTTTACTCTTTTTATTCCTAAACGTCTTTCAACACCCATGTTTTCCTTTATCCCTGGCATCGCCACTGCAATATACTAACAAGGCTATCCAATTTCCCGTCTTGAAATAAGAGCTTTTTAATGTATTTTTAGAGAGGCAGAAAGAAGTTAGCACACAGTGATGAATTAGATTTCAATTTATTTGACTTCATTCCCAGCTTGCTGCATTAGAGCCTGCAAACAGCCATCTCTGGCGATCCGTCCACTTGATTCTTATTAGGTTTCAGAAAACAAGGCGAGGGAATTGCATTAGTGTATCTTAAGTTAAAAGCTCCTTGCTCTTTGACCAAGTGTTTCATTGTTATTGGGTTAATCAGATTTTTGCTGTCTTCATGGAGATGCTATCACAGGTTAGAGGCAGTGGTGAGTAACCAAAGCAGCCGCGCTCAGACACTATCCAGATGGGATCAGCTTACGGTAATTTGGTTTCAGAATACATTACCAGAAAAGCCTCCTGGACAACGATGGCCAACCCACTGTGTGCCAGGAGTTGCTGGCCCCTGTGGCCGGGCAGTGCTTCCGCTGCTCCACCTGTCGCTTTTATTTCCCACAGCTTTTAGGAGGTTTTCAGATGTTTCTTTTGTGCTTAAATTCTAAATTGTTGTCCAATTCTAAATACTTCTTCCTTGTATCAACAGGGCTTTGTTGTCCAAATCATTAGAGAGATTCCTGAGTCCAATGGCCACGCTGGAGACCTCTCATTTCTGGTATCTAGTATCATTACTCTTACTGTAAAATAGGCATGGGCCGGGAAGAGATCCTCACCGTATGATAACATAGAGTGAAATAACCACATTACAAATTCTTGTTTTCACTGTTAGAAATGAAATTTTCTTAGGGGGTATAATTGTCTTAATTTAAAAAATCTTACTACTTAAAAAAATAAAATAAATTCAAACAACTAAAATAATGATTAAGAATAAATGTTTTAAAGCAATTTTTTTTATTGTTAGTTGTAAATTTCATTTTCATACTTAGGCATTTAAGCTAAACTATTTAACAATGATTGATAAATTTATCAGGATTTCAGTAAACATACTTAATAAAGAGTAACACTAGTAGAATACGCCTATATTAGCAGGTTAATTAACTGGTCTACTGCTGGAGATGTCTGCTGCCACCTTCTTGACGTAGCTTGTTGGACTTGTCCTGTAATTTTAAAACGGCATTACCTTCGGAGGGAAGGGATGTGGCTCATTTAGTTTCCACATTGCGTCTAGAACTATTTTTCAAACAACTGAGTTTTTCTTTAATGTATGCAGAGTAAAATGTAGGAGCTTTCTTTCAGCCAGCTGACTGGCAATGTGCAGCAGTTGGTGGGGAATTAGAGTACCACTTTATCTATACTTCATAAAACAGAATACAGTAGCTTACTAGCTTAACTAACAACAATTAATAAGTTAGGCTCAGGTAGCCATCATTTTGCTCAATATAATTTCAACTCACATATTTCTCATTGAAGATTGACAACTACAATATTTATGTTTTCCCTTTACTTTATTCACCTTGGCTGGGAAAATTCCAAACAGCCAAATGAATCCCAGTAAGGGAGTTAAAAGTAAAGTTGCACATCTCAGGCAGCTGAGCAGCAACTAGTGGGGGAGGGGGAGTTCTGTCTAAAGCTTTGCTTCACATATTCTGAAGAAAAAACTTCAGACACTTCATTCCTCTTTTTTTTTGTATTTTAGAAAAAAATATGAACACTGATAAAAGAAAAAAAAAGATTTTAATAGTTTTTTGCTGCTAATCCATTTTTTCAAGCAAACATCGTTGAACTACATACTTAATTACACTAACATCCACTGACTAAATACTCTTTAACGTTTTCAACTGTGGGTCCCTCATTTGTTTATACCGATTTTAAAATTTGTCTTCTAAAGGTTTTACTAATATGGATTTTTTTATTTTTTTTTTGGAAGAGACAGTAATGATAAAGATGAAAATAAAAACTTAAATTTAATGGATTGCATCCTGGATTTTAAAATAAACTGAACCTCATGAACACCTGAAATTGATCTGAGCTATGAGGTTCTCACCATGTATCAGGTAGAACTACAACAGTTTCACAATTATGCAACATTTGCACAAAAAGGAAAACTGTATATAAAAAATTGTGACTAGATTTAGTAGACTATATTTCTACCTACAGAAATAACAAGTATAATGACTGCGTAATTAGTTAAGATTGGCTGCCTCTCATCACATGGGCTGCTTGTTGTTTTCAGAACAGCTTTACCCGTTTCAGGAGTTATGTTTATATTCATTCTTCTTAACAAGAGAAAGTCTTTCTTTTGCTCAACGGAAAGGTGTAGTATCACTCTGACACCCGGCGAGCAAATAGTGTACAGCAACAAGCAGGGGAGGGGTACTACCTGTTATGCAATGCTTCATGCTGCACTGGTAAAACTCAGGCCCCAGTGGACTTTTTCTGCAAGTCAGTAAGGAAAAGGGTAATAATGATGTTAGCTGATCCAATCTAACTCAGGCTGAACTTGGATTGTATGGTAACCCTCAGCATAAAGCAAAGCTAAATTCTATTGGTAAAACAGTTGCTGTGTACTCGACTCTTTGTTTAACCCATTATATATAATCATGATACCCTGATCAAATTATTAGTTTTTCCTTTTCAGGAAGAGCATAAATTAAACTTGTTTCATTTTCACTGTCTTTCTATGTTGTCATAACATGCCACCTCCTCACTTCTTAAATTTGCCCTTTACACCTCTTGGCGATTAGCTGTTATCGTTCTTTGATTATTTCACAACACCCACCTGCATGGAAACAAATAGCTGTTGCTGAATGCGCCCCCTGCGGTTTTCTAGCCCATGGTAACCTTGGACACCCCCGCCGCAGTGTGAGAATCTGTTTAAAAATAACCAGGTCCATTAGTCTAGAAAGGATAATGCTAGCCTATGTGGGCTCTCATGCCCTTGTGGCAGCAAAGTGCTATCACTGACACGTTGCGTCAGCACTTCTTCCTGTTGCTACGACGCTCAAGGGCTCCTCTTTAGTCACTCACACATGCATATGTGCAGGTATTCAAACACAAACAGCAGAATAGAAGCAGTAAAGAAAAAAAAAGTGGTAATTGAAGTGCTTGGGTGTTGCATAAGTAAAGTTTACAATACTCTTGAAGACTGATATTTTTCAAAGAGAGTTTAACTCTTAGAAGAACAGCAGTTCCTGTAGGAAATGTGATGTAATGTGGGTAACTATATGGGTGTTTATCAGCGGAGGCCATTGGTATTGAGCAGCCAGTTGTTTGAAGGTTATGTTTCAGAGCAGTAATTGAAATGCAAAATAACATTAGGATCGATGGTTAGCTTTGTTTATTTATGAAATCAATATTGAAAGCGTCCGTCACAGTAGCAGCTCTGATTCTCACTGACAGCTTCACCGCGTCCCCCACTGCGTTAGCTGCAATGAGCTCTGAAACGACTGCAGAGTTTGTTGTCATTCTTTTGAAAAGCTGCATTAAAAGTGATAGGCCTTTGTTACAAGTGTGAGGCTGGGACAATCTTACCACTAATTTATTTCAGCATTGTTTGAGATTCTCTGTAAATATGCCTGTTGTACTATTTATACATAAACATATAGAATTTGTTATTAACACAGTTTCCTTTTTAAAAAAGCCTGCAAACTAGGATCAAACTAAAGGTATACTTTAGTTTTTAAAAGCAAAATTTTTAGTTATTGTGGTTAACGTCCTTTTAAAGACATGCAATGAAATGAGCTAGAGCAACCAGAGTTTTATCCTGCACTATACGATTAGATAAGCCCAGCCCTCCCCCTCCCCCATCTGTTGTTGGACACTGAAAATAAGCTACTACTGCAGTTTTCCTCATTCTCATAGAAAGAACCTGTTTGAGTCATGTGGAAACTAAAGGAGCGCCACCAATTGATGAATAATAAGAGTTGGAACTTGTACATCATTTCGGCATATAAGTATTATGGAACACTTATACTGTGAGGATTGCCTCATGCCTCCAATCGACTTTGGTTTTAAAGCATTATTGTAGTACAAAGAGTGATAATTGGCGCTTCTTTTGATTCCATCTGTGTTTTTTAATTACTGGAAATATAATAAAACCTTAAATCTTAGAAAATCTAATGACCAACTTTCAGTTAGCTGACTTGCAGTACATGGCATCCTGTCAGGAAGGGGCTGTGATATATTACTCAGATGTGCATACAAATGACAAAAACTCAACTGTGATATGTTCGCTGGCATTATATCTGGTGGACATTAACTTTTTTACCCTGATATATCAGGATCCCAGCAACCTACTAATCTTTGGACATTAGTGATCCAACCTTGTCTTCTCGATCAGATCAATGGGTGGCAGTGATTTTAGCTGGTTAACCAACTGTCTGCTGTAAATAAGGAGCTGCACATTACTTGAAACAGTCATGCTGGAATAGAAAAAAAAAACAAAAAACATTTTGAACCATAACTACTTAAACCTTGGGATAAAAAGATGCTATAAACAACACGATTTATGAAACTTTGTGGGTTTTTGTTCACTTTTTGGGTGTAAAGACGCTTAAAGGGGCTGATAATTTCTTTAAATAACTGCCACTTTGCATCTTAAGTGAAATACATTTTTCAAAAATGCAATAAATGAAGTTTTAATTTTTTATATAGGTTTGACTATAGAAAGCTTTTCCGGCTTCACTGAGACGTTCCTGACATCTAAGCTTGTAACTCACATTTTCTGAACATAAGTGTGGCATTCTGGCTTAGTGTGCTTTCCCTGGCTTTAGATGTTTTGACCGTTGATTTCTGTGTGACAAACTGGGTGTGTGTTGCTGCTGAACGCACAACCTGTCCTCCCTTAGATGTCATCCTTTTAGTGACTCAGCAGTCCATCACCCATGGGTGTGAATCCTTTCATAGGCGAAATGCAGGTAAAATAAAGAAATTCAGATTTTTTTCACCATGTTTATTATTTGCATCAAATATAAGAGCTATAAAAACTTCTGTTCCAGCAGAACATTGTACATCTATTTAAGGATCTGTAACATATTTTCTATTCTTTATTTTAATTCTTAGAAAAAACAGGATGCAGTTATTGAAATCGGCCCCTTAGACATCAAAAACACAGAAATTGGCGGCATACCGGAAAATACTTCAAAACATGTTTTGATATCAGCCCTACAGCACTATGTGGACTTAAATTGAGTGACACTGAGTGACTGTTGTTGAACCTGCTACTTAGACTGCACCCCACCCCCACTTTCCAAAGAAGACGCATTAATTCCGAAAATCTCCCCAAAGTTTAATTATTCCTGAATGGTGTTGTGGTGGACACAAGCGTATAAATCAGTTAGGCGCACACGCCTTTTTTATTACCAGCACTATTTATAGAGAATGTCTGGCAGCTGGTAGAGATGAGCCTGTAAAAAAGCTGGCGGCTATTGCTGGGACTGTGTCGACCGCTGTAGCATGTGACAGTCATAACAATGGAGTTTTGCAGTTTGAAATGTGTGCTAAAAGCTAGAATTGACGTTGAATTTTCAACTGGATTAACATGTCATCGTTTTTACTGCTGACACTCTGACTGTGAGCCTTTGCAAACATTGACACATCGCGTTTAAATCTCCGCCTGATAAACTTGCATATTTTTGGCCCGTTAATTTTGCATGCTTTATTTGTGTGTATGAGCTTGAACTACTTTGTCTTTTAATGTTTATATCTTCCTCTTCA